CCCCTAATGTTTTCATTCTGTGGTGCATTTTAAATGGTGTTTTAATGGATGACTGTAAACTGCCCAGAAATTGGGCGGTATAGAAGTTACACAAATAAATGAATATTCTGTTCCTTCTTGCCAGCTCTCTTCATTGTCCAGCATTCACACCCATAAATAGTGATCAGAAATACACTAGTGTGCATGATCTTGGCCTTGGTATCCAATGAAATGTTCTTACAATTTATTATCTTTTCTGGTTCCCTCACTGTTGCCCTTCCAAGTCTTAGACTCCTACTAATTTCTTGCCTGCGGTCTCCCTTTGAATTCATGAATGCACCAAGGTGTGCAAAATCGTTTACAATTTCAATTTCTTCATTGTTGACAGCAGCTTTATGTAATTCTTCTGTAGTCATGATTTTTGTTTTATTAATGTTACATTGTTGTCCTGCCCTTGCACTTTCTTCTTTCACTTCCATCATGTGTTTTTGCAAGTCATTGCTCTTTCCTGCCAACAAGATGGTATCATCTACATATCTTAAATTACTGATATATCTTCTTTTATTATTTATTTATTTAAACAACTTACATGCCACCCCATCTTCTACTAATTTTCACTCCTGCATCCTCTGCTCCTAATCCAGCTTTCCTTATGATATGTTCCGTGGACAGATTGAACAGATAGGAGGATAAAATACGCTCTTGCCTGACAGCTTTAGTTATAGGAAACCATTCTGTTTCTCCATGTTTTGTTGTGAGAATAACTTCTCATCCATCCATTTCCTTCAGAACCATCTATAGCTTCTCATCACCCTCACAAAGACTTTGCTATAGTCTGTAAAGCATTGACTGATCATCTTTAGAAATTATTTGGTGTCTTCCAGTAGCCAATATATATTTGCAATTTTGATCTCAAGTGTCTCTTCCTTTTCAGAATCCAGCATGAAGATTAGGCATTTCTCACTCCAGATAGGTGGTGGTAGTTGCAACACTTCAAGCACCACTTTGTTCGCATCAGACATTAATGTAATGGTCCTATAGTTGCTGCATTCCTTCGCCTCTCCTTTCTTGGGGATTGGCATGTATATTGAATAGTTCCAGTCTGTGGGCCATTGTTTTGTTTTCCGTATTTGTTGGCACGTTCTTGTTAGGATTTGGAAGGTTCAGCCTCTGTTTTTAGCTGTGTTGGCACCATGTAAATGTTAAGCAGTGAAGGCAGGCTAGGCTGCAGGTGTGATGCCCAGGATCAACCCATGAGCTTCATCAAAGAGCTTAGAATTAAGCCTTGGCTTCCACATATCCAAAGCCAAAGCTCAATACTGTGGTGGGACATGTGTAGCCTTCTAGATGTTATTCAATATTGACTGTTATCAGCCTGAAGCAGCACAGCCAATGGTAAGGGCTGATGCAAGTCACAATCAAAGAACATCTGGAAGGCCAAACATTACCAGTCCCTGCCCTATATCATGCATCACACTGGGCTTCCTGCAGCTTAAAACCAGGTGTATAGCAATTGCATGAATCATTTTATATCTGTGTATATGCAAATAATATGGTATGCAGACAAACAAATCTCACTTTCAGTCACAGTCCTGGCTAACTGAATTCATACTTTACAAACTTGATTGCAACACTTGTAGCAGAAATTTAGAGGCACGAATGATTCCTAAAGGCCCATGAATGTCTGGACATGAAGGGCTTCCAGGCCAATTTTCAAATAACCTCCTTTAAGTTGGCACTTAGTGGCTGATATTAAATACATAATTTCATAATGAATTTGGTGTGGTGTGGTGTGGTTTGGTTTGTTTGTGGGTGTTTTGGACTATTGCTTCCTACCTTAACCAGTTGAAAGGGGTCAGGATAGTAACTCAACTCAATAGAAAGATCAAGAAATAAGAGGAAATGTCTGAATCAGCCCTCCATTGTCCAGAGGAAGCTGTCTTCTGCCTTACCTTTCCATTTTGATAGTGTCTATATCACTGCCGATGATATAGTTCAGAAGGCCACTTTTCCCCTTGTGACATTGCTTCATTAGGCAGCCCCCTACTCAAAAACTGCATAGAATGTACCCAGCCTCAGCAGAGCCTTCAGTTTAGTTCAGGCAGATTAACTCCATCACAACATGGAATGTGTGACAGTCCAGTGGGCTGTTTGTTGATCCATCAGTAGCTGAGGTCATTGTTAAGCTTTCAATTAGCCATTGAATGATCTGGATAGAGTGTCACCCCGACAGCTGTCCAGGCCTGGGGGTGGGAGAGATATAGTTCAAGGGGATGACTGGAGCACTGTTCCCAGTGCTGTAATCACACCGGATCTGATGTTTCCCTATTGATATTGAAAACATGCATGTGGGGAAGCAAGCCCAGAAATGGTCAATCATACACATCTTAATTATAGGCAGAGTCCTCTGGGAAGTTCTCCTGCACAAGATTTGATAAAATGGACAGGAGATCATCAGGTTCTTACTAGATTACCGTATTTAGATGGGTCTTGTGCAGTAGGTCTTCCTGATAGATTCTTCTCAAGATTAAAAAAACTTAGAGAAATGTTTAAGAATCCAGAACATTTGAGACTGTGCTTATTTAATGATTTTATTTCTATACCACACTATAGCTGAAGTTCTCTGGGCAGTTTACAAGATCCAACAAGTTTTGTGAAGCATGAAGTGTTTGCCTTACAAGCTTGATTCTTGACCCGTGATATTTTATATCCTGTCATTTCTACAAAGGAAAGGACTGAGAGAGCTTCGGCTATGGGATAGTATAGAAATGAAAT